GATCATGGAATGGATGAAAATCAAGTGCTAGCAACTCAAAGTGGACCACAGATTATAGGATCTGTGCATCTGTGATGCAAGCAGCTGGAGTGAGTAAGCTTGTATTAATGAGTCTGTGATCTCTACAGCAAGCCAGACTGGCTTGATATTGGAGTTTAGTGGGTTGGGAAGACGGGGAAAGGGCAGAGTCTGGAGCAGGAATGAGACACTAATTTAAATGTGTATGTGTCTCTATGAGTGAGACAAATGGAGGGGTTTATCTAGTGAGGGAAGAACTATCAGGAGGTCCAGGTCAGCTATTCTGGTCACCATAAATTCCAGGGGTTCTTTGAGAGTACTGTCTATGTGTTGTGTATCTCAGCGCACCCAGAGACAAGAGGATCCCAGGGCAATTCCTGGGTAGGCTGAGTGGCAAAGACCACTTGGTGGAGAGATGCATAGAATAGCAACCTAGGGGAGCAAGCACCCAGGGCTAGTTGCTGGGTAGGCTGCACCCTGAAAACCAGTTAGCAGGGGATCTTTAGCATGCCTCTGTGTGTGTGAAGGAGTGTATCAGTGAGTGAGCCTGTCTGACTACTCAAACCAGAGTGAGGCTGTGAGCTTCAGGTGCCAGCAGATGGAGAGAGCACAGATCCAGAGGTCAGGAGGCTAAATCTCAAAGGACGGTTATTGCAGAGATCCGCATTGTATACAAATGCATATATATTTCCCACTAACAGACCTTAATCCTGACCAACCAGAAAGGGGAGCAGGATGAGGCCATTGGTGGTGCTGTTTCTGTCTGCATGCCTGGTGAGTGCTTCTGTCTGTGTTGATCCTTGTGGCTGGCCATTCACAGGTGTGCAGTGCCTGCATGTGTTTGTGTGTGTGCCTGTTGGGAATACCCACCTAACCCTGCTATTGGTTGTGCCTGGGGCCAAGGAGATGCAGCAGCCTGGCTTGTGTGACTTTACTGGATCTTACAACTCCTAACACTATTTTTGCACAAGCCCAGGGAACGCTTTCTCTTCCCAGCATTCTTAGAGAGCATTCACACCCTTCCTTTTTCACACTTTTTCAAGGAATGATCGTAAAAGGCAGAGTAAGCTCAGAAATGTTTCATTTCTTTTCAGGTCTGTTAAGCGAGCAAGTTTTGCTGCTTGGGGCATTCAGCTTCATAGCAAAGCAAACTCTCTGTTACCTTTTACCATAGTGCCTTTTGCCTTCTATCAGTTCAGTGTACATTTGGATATATTCAGAATTCAACTGGACAAGGTTTGGAGCAGCCTACTGTAATTTAGCCTGGCCTTGAGCGGGGTGTTGGTGAAGATGACATCTGTACCTCCCTTCCAGCTTGTTTCATTCTGTGATTCTGCAGTTTTAGTAGCAGATTCTCATCACACAGGTAAAGGGATTCTTTTCCTCTCTTCTCAGGATCAGCTCTCTTGTCTGTGGCTGTAGTTTGCAAGGCTTTGGTTGTATAATTCCCTCTTGCACCACTGCACTGTTAAGACACCGAGGGCAATGTCCTTCCTGTTCAGTCCAGAAACTGGGCAGTCCAGAAAGCTGTTAGGCCATTTCTGCCTCCATGAAGGTTGTCTAAGGGTCAGTCATCCTTGGGTGAATTGTCATCCTCTTGCATCAGGGGATCAATTTGTCTGTAACACAAGCACTTAGTAGTCTTGCTTGAAAGTACAGGCAGACCAAAATGTGAAGATTATTAATGTGCCTGTTCTGAACAGTCTGATCTATAATAGCTTCCGGCCTCTGCCCAGTTTTTCTGGATGTTGTCATTACAGCATAATGACATAAAGCATAATTGCTTTGTTATGTAAATATAGAATAGTACTAGCTGAAGTATTTGGGATTTTTATTTCACCTTCTCTGGCTGGCAAGAACTGAGGATACTCAAATGAGAGTTTAGATTTTGCAGAGTATAATGAACCCATTTGACTCTTCTATAAAAAATGATGTTGTTTTCTTTTTTTAGTTTAGGGAAGAAACATATAGGAGAATCTCTCATCAGTTGTTTTTATCTTCCTTGAAGTAAAATAACACTTACAATATGAAATTGCAATATCATTCTTCAAAACTGAGATTATACCAGGAGTGAAAAAAGAATTGTAGAATTGTCATAATTTCATGTGTTTCAAAGCCTCTAGGTTGCTCAGATATCTTGCCTATTCCTCATTTTTAATAAAGAGTGGACTGTTGCTCCAATGATACTCTGAGATACCTCAATCTGTGTTGCCTCTAGCAGCATCATGGGCTGGACTGAGACTGAGTCTAACCTGATGTGGCAAGACCCTTGATTTTGAGCCATGTTGAAAGGGTATAAGCCATTTTTCTTCCAAGGTGGTAAATTCACCTGAACAGATCATTTCTATCTGCACTGAAGAGCAGCAGAATACTGGTCTGGCCTAGCACAGTGAAAATGTGAAGTACTACATCAGTCATCAGTGCTAATAAAATGTCAGAGTGAAGGCTTATACCTGTACACATTCATACTCTTAAATTATGAGCACAGCCATGGGATTGTTTGGCCCATGCCAAATAATCTTATCACAAACAGTGTTTACACATAGGTCAGGGATTAGGATGGACTGAGGACCATTCCTGGGAAGTGGTTTGGGTGCAGCTGTGCACTTCTGTGGGGTTGGAATTTTTAGCCATGGGAACATGAGCCATACTGTGCCTGTTGTCTGCCTGTTGTCCTCAGAGCTAGAGAGCAGTTTAACAGCTTGTTAGATTTATGAGTGTGCATGCAGCTAGTGGATGTGATTCCAGGCATACAGCCAGTAGGAAAGGGAGGAAGAACAAAAATAGTGGCGGACTTTTGGCCATAGGTTGAGAAATGAGATTTATACACACAAAATTCTTGTGTGCTTTTCTTATTTTTCTAGTGGTTTCTGACTTAAAGTATTCACTGTGAAAGGGACAGTTCTGTCTGCTTCAGGCTGCCTATTTCTGTTTGCTTGTAAAATACTCACGTGCTTGGTCAATACTACCTTGCTCACTGGTGAGAAGCTGTCTAGAGAATATGCTTGACATGGCAGAGCACAGGCTGCTGAGCAAGTCTTCTCCATTTCCTTTCTTCTCCATTCCTTCCTCACTTCCTGTATGGCTTTCCATGCCCTGATTAACTTCTCTCTATTTTCTAGAGTTCTTTCTAGAGTTCTTCTAGAGTTTCCATGGAAGCATTGTGCTTTGGTAGATGGGAGATTCAGATCTGCTTAGGAAAAAAGTTTCTTCTGTGTTGAAAAATAGCCTTGTGTATTATTTCAGCATATCAAGGCTATGTCTGGGATCCCAGTGGCAAAATAATACATGATACTGTGCAATCTCTGTGCCAGACTGTGCAATTGAGAATGTAATGGGCGTGGGGGAATGCCAAGTTCCTCCACTGCTAGGACAGCCTAGGGAGTACTGTGCCTCAGGGAGGCATAGGCCTTTTGCAGATGTTGTGCTGCTCAGAGGAGCTGTCAGAGCTGAGCTATCCTTAAGAACTGAGCAGCTCAGCATTTCCTGAGGTCTGTTACATAATTTTAGTGTGGTTGTACTTTAGCTGTAACCTGTAGTTCTTTCCAGTTTTGGCAAGCCAACCCTGGTATTTTGCGCTGCTTTTGAATCAAGGAGCTGCATCCTCAGGAAGGTCTGAAAAGTATAAAATGTCCTGTAGGAATATAGAAAATATAGTTCAGGGACATCAGTGAAGGCTGAGGTCTGTATAAACTTGCTCACTTGATCATGTCTGCTTTAGGATGAGCCTAGTCTTTCCTTTCCAGTGATTAATGTGGAGTGAATCACCAGGTGTATTGGTAGGGATAGTGACGTAAGCAATCCATAACTGGAAATAAAAACCATTGAGGATATCTGTCCTGCATAAAATGTGGAAGAATCATATTACTAAACCCTTGCAAGGTTTAATAATGGATCATGAGCCTTATTTGTAAGTAAGCTGGCTGTTAGGTTTTGAGTTGTATTTTTTTAATCTGTTTTTTGCAGGTTTTTTTTTTTTAAGTAATAAAATAGAAATATGAAAATCAAAATAAGCAAATAAAGCTTCCCAGAATTTAAGAAAAGCCAATTGATTTATACAGTATATATCAACACATGTAAATACCTATTCAGCTGAGTCATTTTCTTATTCTGTGTCCTAAATATACAGAGTGAAGAGCACATGCTTGCATATCACAGTGGTCTCAGACCCTGACATTCTCTTTTGGAGAATATTATGTTTATAGTTTCTACTGTCAAAATCTCTTTTGTGTTTCTTTGTACCCAAGCAGAGAATAACTGTCCAAGAGCAGTCAAGGCTGATATCTGTCTCCAGTTGTAGATTCAATAACAATGGAAATGCAGACTAGTTGTGGGAATAAACTAGGCCTGTGAAGTGCTGCATGTACCTTACTCTTGAGCAGTGTAATAATGCAACAGATTATTTCATATTGGGATTCCTACACAGGCCTGCAGTGTAATTCCCAGCTTCAGAACAAAATTAATCCATTACAGGATCAGCTGAGTCATAAACTCCCAAAGAAATTTCGTTCCAGAACTGGGAACAAACATGCTTTGTCCTTGTGTCCACATTTACATGTGCAGATAAAATGGGCAACCATAGTCCTAATGGGACTAGCATGCATTCATGTAGCTCATCTCATCACCTTTTCCTTTCCAAAAAGAGAGTGGCCTCATCTGAACTGCTGATTATGATAACTCTGCACCATCCTGTCAGTGTGCTTATACTTTGCCTGGGAAAGTCTGGTGAGAATATTGCCAAGCAAATTGAGACTCATGAGTTAGCATGATTATGTGCCCAGTGCCTCTGCCTTTGTCTTGGCGTTTCTTAATTTATTAGTATGGACATAACCTGTCATATTTAGTCTCAAAACATTAATGTTTATTTTTGGTGTATGGAAGTCCTCTACAAGACAGTCTTGAGAGGAACAGATAAGATTTTAATCTGACTTGGAATAGCACAAAAAACTTTTTTTTATTTAATTTTTTTAAAATACAAACAGAAATACTTCTGGATACAACTCAGGAGACCTCAGAGATTGGCTGGACTGCACACCCTTCTGATGGGGTAAGCATTTCCCTTGTCCCTCTTCCTGACTCTGTGTCTGCTGGGAAGACATGCATGCATCTGATGAAGAAAGGGGAACTGTGAGACTTGCTTTACAGATTTTGTATATATGAAGAATTTGAACACAATGTATTTTGTAAAGCCAGATTGTTAAGAGAGAAGGGTGCTGAGTGGGATGCTATTGCCACATCCTTACCCTATTCCTTCACCTCTGCTCCAGAGATACTAAAGAGTTCTCCAGGCACCCCTCCATATAGAATAGAATAGAATAGAATAGAATAGAATAGAATAGAATAGAATAGGATAGAATAGAATAGAATAGAATATTTCAGTTGGAAGCCACCTACAACAATCATCTAGTCCAGGTGCCTAACCAATTAAGGGCTGACCAAAAGTTGAAGCATGTTCTGAAGGGCATTGTCAAATGACTCTTACGCACTGACAGGCTTGGGATATTGACCACGTCTCTAGGAAGCCTATTCCAGTGTCTGACCACTCTCTAGGTAAAGAAATGTTTTCTGATGTCAATTTTGAGCTTCCCCTGAGGCAGATTTTAACCATTCCCATGCATCCTATCATTGATCTCAGGGATCCCTCTCCAATTCCCCTCCTCAGGGAGCTGCAGAGCAAGGGGGTCACCCTTCAGGCTCTCTTTTCTCCACATTGGACAAACCCAGAGTCCTCAGCCACTCCTCCCAGGACACACCTTCCAGCCCCTTCACCAGCTTTGTTTCCCTCTTCTGCACAGATTCAGAGACTTTCCCACCCCTCTGAAATGGTGGTGCCCAGAGCTGATCCCACCTCTGCCCAGCTATTCTCTGTGTTTGATGCCCCCAGGACACAGTTCGTGCCCATGGTTCCTGCCCAGGCACACCCTTCTGACTCTCACTGAGCTGCTGCTGCCCCCAGCACCCTCAGCACCCTCCCTGCAGGGCACTCAGACACTCCTGTCAGTTAGTACTTGTGCCTGCTGTTACTCCATCCCAGGTGCAGGATCTGGCACTTGTTCTTGTTATGTTTTGTGCCATGAATAATTGCCCAATGCTCCCATGGTGTACAAACATTTCAGTTGTGCTCCTGAGCTCTCCGTGCTCCCAGGAGCAGCATACATGATCCCAGCTGGCACTGCTATCCTAAATCTATGCCATGCCAGCCCTTGGGTTTACCTTCAGCTCTCCTGGTGGTATGCCGTTCCTTCATCAATTATAGATTAAATCTCTCAATCCGTCCCTCCAGTTTATGAACAAAGATACATTTCTTCCATTGGGATGGTGGATCCTGTCATGTCCCAACACACCCTATGTCTCAGAGATTCTTCAGTGGTTACGAACCCAAGCATTTTGGCAGAGGCACCAGTCCTGAAGCCAGTATTGATGTCTTGGCATCATTTGTTTCTTTCAGATGTGCCTTACTGCTACTGAAAAGATTGAGAAAAACACTACCTGTGCTCCTGATTTTTTTTAACATTTCATCCAGAGCCCTAAAAACTCTCTTGATAAACTTTGCACTTTTTGTTGGGACATTATTTGCACCCATGTGAAAAAGCAGGTGTGGCTAGTAGTCTAAAGCTGTACTAAGCTCTTCCATCATCTGGTGACATTGCTAAACTGGGGCCCAGGGAGACAGCACTTGCCTGAAAAGATGTTGTAATCAGTAAAAGGGTGCTTCTGTTTCACACAGGAGGGAGTCACTAATGACCATAACTTGCTGTTGTTTCTTCTTGCCAAATGGTCCTAATGCAGATCTTACTTTGAGAATTTGGTTGGTCACCCCTTCATGAGAATCCTTGAGGAGGTTCCTTTTCTTCTATCTCATGATGCACGTCCTCTGTCATACCCAGGGCCTTGTACCTGTTCTGTAAAGCTTTTTGAGAGGGTAGGTTTTGTCTTACAGCTTTGTACAGGAACCTGCTTCCACCCTTCCTTATCCCTTGTGCCTTCCTGCAGCCACAAACCAAATCTGGCTCTGCCCCTGTAGTGGCCATGCTGAGTGGTTTATGTGCATAGGATATTCAGAACACAGCTCCCACTGTGGTAAAGTTAGGTAGAAGGGACTTCTGCTTTAATGTGTTCTCCAGAGAACAGTGTCTTGTTGCTCTGTCTCATTTGTTTGTGTCATTTGTTTTGTCTCTGGAGATGAGAGAGGGGAAAACAGGAAGGAAGAAAGTGTGACTCTCGCATTTTAAGATTTTCAGTGTTGTGTGACCAAGCTTGCATCATCTATGTTTTCTGTCACAACAATTCTTATTTCAGAGCTTTGACTGCTCTTCTTTACAGGGTCATACTCTGTCTAGAATGCTCTGCTGCACATAGCATCAACAAGTTCAAATCTTGTCATAGACATGGCAAGGAGAGGGGGAAGACAAAGACCTGTCCTGTATTTTTGGTGCCATTGAATACTGAATCCATTTTTTTTATTTCTGTTTCTTTTTTCTCCTCTGTATCCATTGTAGTGGGATGAGGTAAGTGTCCTGGATGACAAGAAGCGCCTGATCCGAACCTTTCAAGTGTGCAACGTGGCTGAACCAGGTCAGAACAACTGGCTGCGCACTCACTTCATAGAGCGGCGTGGGGCTCACCGCATCCACGTCCGCCTCCGTTTCTCCGTGAGGGACTGCGCCAGCATGCGCACTGTGGCCTCTTCCTGCAAGGAGACTTTCACACTCTACTACCACCAGTCAGAGGCTGACATAGCCTCTCAGGACATGCCAGAGTGGCATGAGGGCCCGTGGACCAAAGTGGATACTATTGCAGCTGATGAAAGCTTTTCCCAGGTGGACAGCACTGGGAAGGTGGTCAAGATGAATGTTAAAGTACGTAGCTTTGGGCCACTCACCAAGCATGGCTTCTACCTGGCCTTCCAGGATTCGGGAGCGTGCATGTCCTTGGTGGCAGTCCAAGTCTTTTTCTACAAGTGCCCAGCTGTGGTGAAAGGATTTGCCTCCTTTCCTGAAACATTTGCTGGCGGGGAGAGGACCTCACTGGTGGAGTCCCCGGGGATGTGTGTACCCAACGCTGAAGAGACAAGCACAACGGGGTCCTCGAGCGTTCGGCTGCACTGCAATGGAGAAGGGGAGTGGATGGTGGCCATTGGACGGTGTACCTGCAAGGCTGGCTACCAGCCTGTGGATGATGAACGAGCCTGCCAAGGTGAGAGAACTTTTTTCTCTCTTCCTCTTAGGCAGCCATTTCTTCATTGGTTCTCTGTGTCAGCAATATTTGGCCCTAGCCAAAATTTCACAGAGCTGGGAGAGTAAATAATTTCTCACAGAGATTGCCTTGTAGCAGCCTCTTTTCACACATACAGCTCCTCAGACTGGAGTTGGAGTGACCACTTGTCATGGTTTAGGAATGGTGTTCTCCATATTGGTATTGCCACTAAAACCATGCTGCCACTTGCTCCCCCTCCAGTTGGAAGCACAAAAGGCAAAGATCATCAGTTATGATAAGAACAGTTTACTAGAAACAGAAATGAGATAATAAAATGAACAGTAACAACAACGATATTAACAACAAAAGGTGTAAGACCAATGATTTACATGGGAAGTGACAGTAAACAAATACTGATCTGATTGGTTCTTTCCAACACAGAGAAACTCCCAACAGAAAGGAATGCCCTTTTCCTTGGAGTGTGAGTGCCTTCCCCCTACCCCTGTCAATGATAAGAGGTGGTGTAGAGTAACATCTGGTCCTGGTTACACCCTCACAGCCATGCCCGCTCCCAGCTAATGCAAGAGATTGTCCTTGCCCCGGCCGAAATCAGGACACCACTGCTTGCTGCTAAGAAAATTGTCGGAAACTCCACTCAGGCCTTAGTTACAGCTGCCACCAGAGACAGCCTCTGAGGGTACATACAGAACTAGCAGGAGCTATCACTAGCCAGATCTATCACAATTCCACTTCCTTACCAAGAGGCAGCAGCATTAGAAGGAAGATGCCGCATGGAGGAGAGCTGAGCCCAGACCTAATACACTCTCTGTACTAGTTACTTTGGGCCTTTTTTCTAGTGTATAGCAATAAAATAAAAAAAGGGGAAAGGGAAGCAGCCTGGTCACGATACAGGGAAAAATGTGGCTCTGTGAGCCTGTCCTGACTAGAAAAATCAGTCATAATGGTATCATCATTACCAATAATGTACTCTCTGCCCCAGGGCCAATGGTATTTCTGTGATAAGTTTGTAGGAGGAAGTAGAGTACATTATGTGTCACCCAGAAGTGGTATTGGGCTAATAAAATCTGGCGAAGCCTGAGCACCCAGACTTATGTCATGACTGCGTTCCTATCTCAAGCTTAGGACAGTCCATTAGAGCAAACTGCTTATGTTGGTTGTATAATTTGTGTATTATATTCTTCTGGTGCATTCTCTGTTTTAATCTGCATCTACTCAAATCTCTCAGCAGTCTAAAATGTTGCTGCACTACACTTAGTAATCTAAAAAATAAATGTCACGTGGAACACAGTTCTGGCTGCAGACAAAATTCAAAAGTTGGATTTATTCAAACAAGAGTTCCGTTTGGACATGGAACATACAAATACTCTGGTCAACACCAGATTGCAAATGCAATGAATAATTAATGTTAATATTACCTTAAATTCCTGCTGCATGAAGTGATTTGGGTCATGCAAAATAGCTTTATTAAAATACAGGTCGTTGTACTGGAGACTAAAAAAAGCAATTAAAATTGGTAAGTGCTTTTCATTTGTTTAAACTTTGAGAATAATTGAAATATGTGTGCCTTTTTTATCCTGCTCATTCTGAGAGAAATGTAACTACATTCATTTATTGCTGCTTCAGAGACAGTAAGCTCTGACATAGAGCAGCTCTGTATGGCACTGAATTTGTTGTCTGCATCAGTAGCATGACTAGGTCACAGGCTAAATAAACTGCCAGTCAGTAATTTAGTTTCAGATAGTAGTCTTACGTAGTCAAAAAAAAAAGAAAGAAATTTGGCTTGCCAAATAAAAACAAGGAATTTTTTAAAATATCTTCCATTTTTCATAGTATTCAGTGAAAGCTGATACTTCCTTGCAGCCTCATTGTCAAAGAAGCTGGAGACAGATGATAATGGTTAATATTGTAAGGAATAACTGAAATAATGACAGTCTATCAAGCTACAAAAGTCAGTTCCTAAAATTTATGTCCCAAGATTCCTAGAGCAGCCAATGACTACCAAGTATTAATCATAATGTTAAAGGGTATTCTTTCCTCATGTTTCTTGTAAACTTCTCTGGCTTGGTCATCCTTCCCAATCTCTTCTCCTTTCTAACATGTTGCTGGCCTGTCTGAGTGAAGCCACATTCAGCTTGTGTCCCCTTGCTTGGTGTTCTCTGCGTGGAGTCCTCTCCAGCCCTTCTCCTCTATGCTTGTGTTCTCCTTTTTTAAGAACAGACGTCTGTCCTGATACAGAGCAGCCACAGTGTTCTAGATGAAACACAGAACAAAAGCAATAGCTCAAGGGCAGATTTCTACTGCTGATAATGCAGAGAGGTGTTCTTAATAAGACTGAAGAATCAACCAAGGATAAGAAGAAGCAAGTTTACTTCTTACTCTTTGGTAGAAGAGTGTGTGGGCATTGCCTTCCCCCTCACCATATGCAAGCCTGTGGAGTCCTTCCTGGACCAGCTGTTATCTTTTTATTTAGAACAACAAATCTGCCAAGAGCCATTCTGAGCAGATAGATAGAAAGCCCTTTTTCCCCCCCCCCTGCCCCCTATCATGATTTAAGCTACTTTCTTTCCTTATTTTTATAAGAATGCCTGCTCTGTGTTACTATATGGCAGATTTCTCCAGCTAAATAGAAAAGTGAAACAGCAACCTTTAGCAAGCCCTTTGGGTGATGTGGGGTGCAATCTGTGTGGGATTCACTTCCCACTTTATCTGATTAGACTTGTCATGCTGAGCAGTCAAAAAAGAGAATGGCAGTTTACAAAGGAAAAAAGAAGGTTGGGACCTTCATTCTTTTTCTTTGATGTATGTACACACAGGGTGCCTTGCCATGCAAAATCATATAGTATTTAGATTACCAGGTGCTTTTGAAAATAATATTTAGAATTTATGACTGGGACATTTAAAAAATCTTTTTAAAAAAACAATGCAGACAAAAAAGATAAGAGGAATGACTGCACTGATGAAGTGCTAAGCTGACTTCCAAATAAAGAAGGACAGAGCTGTGGACAGAGCTGAGCTGATTAGCCATGTGTGTGGCGCCTCTATACAAACATACTTAACCAGAGGCAAAAAACACCAGCCAGAAAGAGGAGGAAGGAACAAGTTCGGAGTGAAAAGCTTTAAGATGAACTTGAGAGGGGGAGGAGAAAGGTGTTGGTTTAATGTTTGTTTTTGTTTTCTCATTACCCAAATCTATGTTAATCAGCAATAAATTAAATTTCCCCAAGCCAAGTCTGTCTTGCCTGAGACAGTAATTGGTAAACAAGCTCCCTGTTATTTATAACTTCTTTACCTCTGCCCACAAGCTTTCTCATCCGATTTTCTCCCTATGTCTTGATGAGGAGGGAGAATAAGAGGGTGGGCATTTGGATGTTTACCAAGGTTAGCCATCCACATGGCTGCTTGTTCTCTCTTCTTTCAGTGGATGTTTGTTTCTAAGAGTATTTAGCAAGCAAAAGGTCTGCCTGTCATTGGTGGTAGCTGTAAGGATTCCATAAAATTGCCAGTGTCCTTTGGCTATATAAAGTCCCTTCTAATTGCAGAAGGAATCACATCTGTATTGCTGATAACTACAGGAGCAAGCAACTGTACATGGAGCTGTTGGAGGTCTCATTTGGAAAGAATATTGCATGATTATTTTTGTGTTACTGAAAAATGCCCTTTCTCATCAGCTTGGATAAACCTTTTTCAGTGTGTGAGGCTAAAAGAATGTTAAGATTTATGTTAAAATAAAAGATTTGATAGTCTGCTAAAAATATGCACATACTAGTAGGAAAGGAAAAAAAGAGCACAACAAGCTCTTCTTAAATTTTAATCATGTAAAGGATGCTTCGTTTGAAACCACAGGATACTTTATGTTGCAGGGACTTGTGAAAGTCATCTGCTCCAACCCCACACTCAAAGCAGGACCAAATTGAGTTAGGTCACTCAAAGTCTGTTCTACTCCAGTTTTAGTTATTACTGAAGGTGACGATTACACAATGTCCCTGGTCAAATGTTCCAATATTTGACAACACCCATGGTGAAATTACTTCTTCCTACATAGAAAAAGATTTTAGTAAGATGTAGTAAAAGGTTATTACAACTTGTGTCTGTTATCTCATGTTCTGCCACCTCATGCCTACAGAGGTGCCTACACCTTCTTCATATCCTCCCATTAGGTGGCTGATGACAGCCGTAAGCTCCTGCCCCACTGCAGCGGCGGCGGCTGACCTGTAAAGTCTCTGGATGACTCAGCAAGCTGCGGCCAGCACCGCCAGCAGCACTGGGGGGCACTCTCTCACTGGAGGACTTTCCTGAGAGAGCGCCTAAGGCTTTCGCCTTTAGATGCGAGGATCCACAGAGCAATGGAGAGGAGCGAGGCTGCAACCCGCAGGAGGCGAAAAGACAGGGCCACGACAGCACGGGAAACAGAGATCTTTATTCAGGGAAGGTCGCTGGTCGTGGACCAAGATTGGAGCCCGGCAAGGTTTTTTAACACAGGAACAATAACCAATCCAAAGCGAGATGGGTGGGGAAACTGAACAACAGACAGGGATGGGAATCCAATGGGAGGCAACTATGGGTGGAGCCCTGGTCCCTGATCCAATCATTCGATGGCCAAGGTAGAAGGTTCTGGATGGAAAGGAGTGGCCACCGAGTGACGGACAGGCAACCAGGGAGGGGTCAGGGAGGCTACAATATATGAACTGGGAGGAGAACAGAGTGAAGGACTGATGGACGGGGCAATCGAAAGGAGAGAGAGAGAGAGAGGGAGGGAGTCTGGGCAGAACCATTCACAAAATAGGGGTGATAGGGACAAACCAAAATGATATAACACACCCCAACACCCCACAGCTTGCTCTGCTTCAAAATGAACAAACCCAATGTCTTATCCTCTCCTGGGTAAGAGCCTTAATTTCAACGTAAACTCACAGCTGGCAATAATGTTTGGTGCCTTGATCTAGATTACCTTTTTCAATTTTTTTTTTCTTCCGTATTGC